ACCTGGGGGGCCTTTAAGAATTTTTGAGATTCCGCCCTTTGAATCGACCGTGAGCGTGCCCTCTCGCAGGACGGCAGCGGAAAAAACACCGCTGTCATGATTGGGGAAGTTTGCCAGAACGAGGACCGAACGGTACAATAGTGTAAAAATCCAAGTCACGCTGTACGATCACGTCAAGGCAGAGGGCATTCTAATGTAGTGTCCGCCAGGCGTTACAAAGATGTTAAGGCGACTCTTATCTCGGCTCCCGTCGCGGAATGGAAAGATGCCATCGGTCATTGGCTACAACCTTCTGCACGAAGTCCACAAAGCATACCAAAGAGATGGGGTCCATAGCTCCAAACTTCGACGATTTCAACCGCCAGAGCCATGCCTCTCCTGACGAAGCGGCCGTATTAGACACGATCGAAGAACTCGAGCAGCTGGACTCCCAGCTGGCCCAGCGAGAGAGCGAGCTAGACGAACGCGAGCGCCACCTCAACCAACGACAAGAGCAGCTGGACGAGCGTGCCACCCTCGTCGATGAACGCGTCAGCAAGCTCCAGGACAATCTCCAACGTCTGGCAGACGGAAGGAACCGACTGACAGAAGCATGGGGCAACTTTCGCACCGAGGAAGCCGCGCTCGCCGCTCAGAGGCAAGAGCTACAGCGTGAGCGTCAACGAACGGAGCGTCCAACCCAAGTCGACAGAACGGACGCCGATTATGACGATCCTCTCGCCGAATCCGCACGACGGCTCGACGCCTTATTCGAGGAGGGTTTTGAGCCGCCTCCTAGGACCTTGCGGACATCAGCAATGCCACGAGGACCACGTGGTGCAGGGTTGGGTGCGCTCGGGGGCAGGATCCGCCGCTCAAATTTGACGAGAGATAGGTTCAATTTCGTCCGCGAGGCAGACACCCCACGCTTCACCTATGACGCGGACGGAAATCGAGTGCGCAGAGAGCAACCGCCCGCAGCACACTTGGGGGAGGAAACCCGCTCCGCCCGTGATACTGGCGATCTTCCATGGGACGGCAGACCCCGTTCGTCCTCATGGCAAAACGGTAGCGCAGGTCGCTACACTGAGGGTGACGACCGCCCAGCGCGACTAAGAGCTGGCGACGTTATGTTGTTTGACCCGGCAGAGACGGACGTAATGGCGTTCATCAGTCGCCTAGAGTTCATCGCCACTCAAGAGGGGGAAGATGCGGTGCTCCGCGTGTTTCCGCTGTGTTTGAAAGGTCAGGCGTTAGAGTGGCACAACGGCCTGTCTGCCGAAATGAGGAAGGATATGAGCGCTTCCCTCCTTGCCACGATTAGCGAGCTGGGGCGCGAGTTCCAGCTATCTGAGGGAGAAGCCTGGGCGAAAGCCCAAAGCCTGCGATTCTCCTTCGACAAGTCGGACGAGCTACCGCTGGCGCTATACATCTCGCGGAAAATTAACCTGCTGCGAGCCGCCTCAATCTCTGATTCCGCGATGGTGAAGAGACTCCTATGGGAAGGTTTGGAGTCTAACCTGTCCTTGATTACGCCCCTCATTCCCACCGAGCGCTTGGATGACTTCCGAAGGAGGATTAGGGACAATGAATCAGCCGCCCGACGCGCATGGGCCGATCGAAAGGCCCAATTCGCCGAATACATACGTAACTCCAGGCGCTTCGACCAAAATAACGACCGCCGTTCTTATCGCACCCCCTTGGCCAAGCAACAGACGGAAGCCATCAAACCGTCCGTGCCTGCCGCAGATCCTGGGGCAATTCCCCCAGTGGGCGCCCCCACGACGAGCAAGCTGCCGATTAGGCGTACAGAGGGAGGAAAGCCGCCAGCGCCCGCAGCAGGGTGCTACGTGTGCGGAGGCCCTCACTACGCCAACCGCTGTCCCCGGAAGGGGGAGGCCAACGATCGCCCAGCAAATCAAGTCGAATTGGAGGGTGCCGGGGAGGAAGACGACGACCTGCTGGATCTAGACCCCAGTCTAGATTCCGACAGTGAGTCGGAAAAATAAACAGCGAGGTGGGCGCTGAGGGGCCTGCCTCGTCCACGGACGCTCCCTCAGACGGTTATCCGAGCATATTTAACGCCGACATATATGCTATTGCGGCACGCGATATCCCTACAAGCGATCAAGAATACGTTAGCGGACTGCAATATTTGCCCTACACCTTCCTTACCATTCCTGTAGTTACGCCTCGAGGCGATCTTTCAGTTTGCATCGATACAGGCGCGGGTATATCGCTTATCGATGCAGCGATAGCGAGCTTATTCTTTCCCCATTGTCAGCCTACTCCTATGCCACATAATCGGCGCGTGGGCATTCGAGGAGTCGGTTCAGATACAAACGAATCGAACCTATTCATAGCGACGGCTCTCACCTTAAAGGCGGACGACGGTTCTCTTTTCATCGTAAAGGGCGAATTCCACCTAGTGCGATACCTCGGATGCAATATGATTATAGCGAACGATATATTGTCATCAGCGAAGGCCACCATTGACGTCCACGGCGAGCGCATCATATTCCATAGCAAATATTCCATGAGTGCCAAGGCCACTAGAGGCGCCATCCGCGCGGGTAAGAGCTCACAGCCGCCCCGAAGGCAGAAAAGGATCGCCATCTGCTCCGCGGACGCCAACGTCGTCAATGATCCAACCTCAGAATCGCCCCTGTTTCCTGCCTCGCATGCGGAATTATTCAACCTACAGCCTGTTCTATTGACGGATGCAGAAGACCATGACAATCCTCTTCAGATTCCCACGGCGGACACCCTCGCCGAGCGAGTTGAAGCAGACGTATCAGATCACTGGGCGGCAGGAGACCGCGCAGCAATCCAGCAAACCATCGACCGGCATCATAGACTATTTAGTCCCAGCCTGGGCCTATTTTCGGACGGGATAAAGATGCCACTACGATTCGTCAATGAGGACGACTTTTCCGGGCTAAAGCAACGGCCTTACCCTCTTTCGCGGAGAGACCGGGAGGTGGCGGATCAAATCTTGGACCCGCTCGTACAAAATGGGAGAATCGAGAGGGTCCCCCTTGGGGACAAGAACCCTATCGCTTCCCCTGCATTTGTGGTCTGGCACAAGGGAAAGCCGCGTGTAGTTGTGGACTTGCGGAAGGTCAACTTACGATTGCTCCCGAATGCATACCCCTTGCCGACGCAACAAGATGTGCTACAGTCGTTAGGAGGTTCCACAGTGTTCTCGTCAATGGATATCCGCCAAGGCTTTTTTCAACAACCCATAGAAGATGGCGACCGCTTTAAAACCACCTTTCGTCACTCCGCACCGAGGTCTCGAGCGGTTTACCGTCGCTACAATGGGGTTGGCAACCTCGCCCGGGTTCTTTCAGCAACGTATGGAAGAAATCCTAGCGAAATTCTTATGGCGATTCGCGTTGGTCTATGTCGACGACATCATTATCTACTCGCGTTCGCTAGACGACCATCTCCATCACATGCCAGAAGGTATTCTCAGCTCTCGAGGCGTCCGGGG